TCTATCACAACATATTGGTTTGCATTTTCAAGATCCTTGTATGAATAGATTCATGCAGTATCTACTCTATGGTGTCTGACTTCTTTCATTCAGTGTAATTATTTTGAGAGTCATCATCTGTGTTGCTGTATTAATAGCTTATTTTTCTTATAGCAGAGTATTGTTTAGTGTTGAGTTTTTTCTAAATAGTTTATTGTGAGCAGTGTTTGGATAGACCATCGTTTATTTCTCCATTTACTTCTTGATGTATGCATGGGTTATTTACAACTTGAGCTATTATAAATAAAATTGCAGTGAATATTTGGTTACAAATCTTTTTATGGACATATGCTTTTATTTTCTAAAGCACCAGATGAGGAATGTCTGGTTTATATGGTAGATAGGTGTTTACATTTTTTTAAAGAAACTGTTAAACAGTTTTCAAAAATGGTTGTGCTATTGTAAATTCCTCATGGTGTGTATCAGTTCTGGTTGCTCTACTTCCTTGCCACCACTTCGTAAGGTCGGTCTTTCTAATCATATTCATTCTAGTATGTATGTGCACTAGTATCTCACTGTGGTTTGCAAAAGCATTTCTCTAATGACTAATGGCATCTTTAATCAGCATTTTTCATATGCTTATTATCCATCTGGATATCTTTAGTGAAGTGTGTTTTCTGGCCTCATTCATTCATTCAGGTGTTTGCATTATTATTGAGTTTTTAAACTTCTTTATTCTGGATCAGATACAGAGACCTTTATCAGATATATGATCTGCAAATAGCTTCTGTCTATGGCTTGTCTTTTCATTTGCTTAGCTGTGTTTAGAAGAGCTTTGAAGAGTCTTCATTTTGATAAAGTTCACTATATTAGTTTCATTTTAAAATAGATTATACTTTTGGTGACATAGCAAAGAAATATTTGCCAAACCCAAAGTCATAAAGCTTAAGCCTATGCTTTTTCTCCTAACTGTTTTATAGTTTTAGATTTCTTATTAAGATCTATGATCCATTTTGAGTTAAATTTTGTATATTTTGTGAAGTGTGGATCAAAGTTCATTTTTTTTTTTGCATATCACTTTCTAGTTGTTTCAGCACTAATTATTGAAAAGATCCTTTCTCCACGGCATCCTTTTTGAGAATCAATTGTGTATATAAGTGTTGGTTGAGTTCTGAACATTCTATTCTGTTCCATTATTCTATTTTCCTGTCTTACACCAATACTATACTTTCTGATTACTGTAGCTTTATTAAAAAATTCTGAAAATCAGATAGTTTAAGTCTTCCAACTTTGTTTTTCTTGTTCAAAGTTGTTTTGGATATTTGGGATCCTTTGCATTTTTATATGAATTTTAGAATCATTTTTTAAATTCCTTACATCCTGTTCTGCCAAAATTCCACCCATGTCTTTGGCCATCTCCAAAGCCACATTTTCTGAAGAAGTCTCTCTAGATCCCAGGTGAGAGAAATTTCTCTTTCGCCTGTGCTCCATTCACATTCCATAATATTTGATTACATTTATTCATATTTGGCTGTATGTAATTCTCTGATCTTTCCTGCCATATAGTAAACCTCTCAAGATTAAGAATCTTGAATTGTTTCCCTCTGTCTGCTGAGAAAACTAGTTCTGTGCTTTGCAGGAGTGAGCCCTGCAGTAAGAGGTATCTGCAGCACACATCTAAAACATTGTTTGCATATTGTCAAGGAATCCTGCAGATTTAGAATTGTTTATTGATTGTTGTCTCCAAGACGGCTCAGTCTTTTATTTCTATTGCTACTGCTGCACTTTCAAAGAACAATGGGCTAATTATTTTCCAAATATCAAAACATACTGTAATTGAGTTGTGATGCAAATTATGTGCTGCTGTGTCTTAACAACCTGCTTAGTGTTCACAGGCTCCTTCACTCATGGAACTTTTGGGAGAATGACATATCCTTAGAGATAACAATACTGTCTTTGGTGACCTGAGCAGCAGTATCTGAATTCACTCCTGCTGTACTTCCAGTGTCCCCTCTAGCCCTCCTCCAGCCCTCCATGTGGGGACATGCAATTATGCCCTCAAAAAGCCTGTTGCTTCTCAGGAAGACTTCCCTATGAAACATAATCATGTCCTTCTTGTGGGGACATTCAGTCCAGAAACCTGACAACAGGGGAAAATGTTTAGTCTGCTTTTGGTAGAGCCTAAACTCTTCCATACTTATTAGAAGCAAATCCAATGAGCAAATTGTGTTGGCATCTAACAAGTCAGCATAAATGTCTGATGAGGAAGATCAACTTCCACATCCCACTCAGGCATCAAGTTTATGTGACACTCAACTTGGCTAACATTTTCTCCTGTGAACAATGTAAGGTTCAAGACATTATGAATGGCTTTTGTTTTTCTTCCTTAGTATTTCCACATTCACTGTGTCTGGTGAGATTATATGAATCCTGCTTATTTTCATCCCAGCACTAAGCTTTTTTAAAGGATCATGTGTTTAAAAGGCTAATGGACAATTTGTTACAAGATAGAAATCCTTAGATTTTGATCCTAGAGTTGAATGTTGGTTAGTGGTGAATGAAAATTCCAGTTAAAATTTTAAATTCAGTGATACCAAGTTTTAAAAATAGTTAAATATTAGTCAATTTCATTAAATACTATAGCAGTTATTTACTTGTAAGCCTGTTTCTGGGGCAATTTTGCAATTATTCCCTCCCTATATTGATTCCCTCTTTATCAGAATCCTTGACAGGCCCCTGTCATCACTGTCAGTATCATCATCATCATCATCATCATCATCATCATCGTGGAACTGATTCCTCTGGAAGATTCTAGGAAAATAAAGAGATGAGTGGTGTTATGTGTAGGTCAGTGTGTGCATATACAAAAAGAACAGTTATCAGACATTAGATGCAAGATACCCATTTCATTTAGAGAAGAATGTGGTCATGAAATCCTGATGTGGTGAATGAAGGAAGTTTAGGGAACAGAATATTCAGTGGAAAGGAGGAGAAAGTGAGTGAAGTGGGGAGCATAGATCCTTGGTTAGGCGATCAGCACATTGGTGTGAATGAGGGGAGTGTGGTGGCAGAATCATGTCCCTCCCCCACCACAGGATAGCCACCTGTGACATGTTACTGTACATGGCAAAAGGGATGACAGATATTTTAGGTCAAAAATCTTTGAGGACTTCTGTCTTCTAAATTGTCTATTAGTTAGCCTTTTAAACCCGTGATACATTATTAAAGATTAGTGCAGGGCCACAAATAAACAGGATTCATATAATCTCACCAGACATACTGAATGTAGAAAGGCTAAGGAAGAAAAACAAAAAGTCATTCATAAGTGTCTTGAACCTTAAATTGCTCATGAGAGGGAATGTCACACAAGGTGAGTGTCACAGCCCCATACATAATGACTGAGTGGGATGGGACAAGGGGATCCTGAGATGAGACAATAGGGTGAGTAGCCAAGGTTGTCCAGGTGGGCCCAATGTAATCACAGGGGTCCTTAAAAAGGAGGACATTTCCCAGCTGAGTTTAAAATCAGAGGGAGGTGTAGCCATGGAGCAATCTTCAGAAAGGCTGCTGGCCATGAAAATGGAGGAAGTCATGGGGCACAAGCTAAGGAAGGTGGGTGACCTCTGGAAACTGGAAAAAAACAAAAAACAAGGAAACATTCTCTGCTAGACCCTCTAGAAGGAACGAACCCTGCTGGTA